TCAGTCAAGAGACAGTGTAGCAGAACTTTGATACATACACACAATGGAATACTACACAATATTGAAAAATAGTGACAAATCTGCTAAACACTTCACAACATGGATGAACCTGAGGGACATTATGTTGATTGAAATTAGTCAATCACAAAAAAGACAAATATTATATGAGATCACTGTTGTGAAAAGTTAAGAAAAAGTTTCCATGATAAAAGAAATATTCTATGATGGTTATGGGGTGCACATACTGGGCAGTGTTTTGTTATGTTGTACATTAGGTCACTATGAGTCTGAGCTGACTAGAGGACACCAACAACAACAGCCTTGAGTTGGATCTGAGACATGGGGGTAAAGAGGCATTCCAGACTGAGGAAGATGAATCTGCAAAGGTAAAGACGAGGATACACTTTTCCTACAGCTGGGATTCAGAATGAGAGGAAGTCCTTGAAAGGAAGGAGAAGGCTGCTGGATTGAGGAAAGACCTCAGGGATATGAGATTAGAGATGCTCTAGGTGGTCCAACATAAGAGATGAGGTGCTCAACTAGGGAGTGACAATGACGGTGAACGTAGGTGATGGTCATGAAGGATGTTAAGGTGAGAGTAGGGTCAGTACTCTGGGAGGGATAAAGTGGAATCTAGGGTGACATTCAGAAGCTTGATTCTGGACACTGAGAAGATGGATAGTTGTATCCGTTGTGAGGATACAAGAAGCAAGAAACTGAGAGGAATGATGTGAAAATCCATTCTGGTCATGCTGTACATCAAGTATGGAGGAGTGAGTCTCGATCCAAAAGGACATCCCTAAACCTGTCCCCTCATTTTTAAAATGTTGAGTCTAGAAATGCACATGCTTTTTCTCAATCCAGCCCCATGAAGTTTAGCAAACTGTTTTGTCCTGATTTACTTTCCAGCTCCATGTGAGTCCACATTTCTCATTTCTCCCTGGGAATAGAATTTCCAAATACCCCAAGAAAGATTGTTTTTGTGGTTTGATCAACATGAAGGGGTGGAGTGTTAGTTACAAATTCCAGGAGTGAGCCTTTTCTCAAGAGATGCCCAGCCCATGTGGGGAATCTACCAGTAGTAGGATGGCCCTGACCCTTAGTTAAGGAGATCAGATACTTTATCACTGTCTTAGGCTGGGTTTTCTAGAGAAGCAAAACCAGTGAAAGTTATAAATGTATAAATAAAGTAAAGCTTATATCACAGAAATGACACACAATTGTAGAGGTGGGAGAGTCCCAAATATGAATCAGAAGAACCAAGATTAGCAGGACAGACAGCAGACAAACAGATCCAGCAGGTAAGTAGGAAGCCGACTGATGACTCATAGGATTGTCAAGTAATAGAATAGGCTATTTGCTCAAGTCTAAAGAACAAGCCACATATAAGATCCAAACCCAGAAAAGAGCAAGCAAACCTTGCCTGAGTGCCCAATATATTGGAAGCAGGCCACACCCCTGAAGAAGCATTCCTTCAATTGATTGTCTGCTCATAGCTGACTTAATCATAGAGTTGATTACATTACATGATATCTTATCATGGGGAATAGCTACATCTCAATGGTCAAACCATGGAGAATTCTGGCCCAGTCAAGTTGACACAAACTTTAACTATCACAATCATATATAATGATTTAACAAGCCTGCAATGGGTATGGACAAGCTACATGAAAATGAAGGGGCACAGATAGACTGGAATGATTGACCCTAAGGGTTGCTTCCCCTTTTCAGCAGGGTTGTAGGGGCTTATCCTCTAAGACAGGTTCACAAGTCATTGATGTAATTGTGCCCCCCACCCCCAAATATTAGTGCCAACTTGGCTGGGTCACGATTCTCAATGGTTTGGCAGTTTATGTTATAATGTAATGTGGCAGTTGTATGATGATTCCTAATGATGTGATCTCATGTGATAAACCAATAAAAGGATTATGGGTGGGTTGCAATGCCCTTAATCCCATCATAACCCTGATCCAATGTAACGACATTTCCTTGGGGTGTGGCCTGCACCACCTTTATCTTACAAGAGATAAAAGGAGAGAGAAGTGAGCAGAGATCAGAGGAACCTACTACCACAAAGAAAGAAGAGCCAGGAGTGGAGGGCATCCTTTGTACCCGGGGTCCCTGCGCTGTGAAGATCCAAGACACAGGGGAAGCTACATACCAAGACATATGGAGATTTCCAAGACATGCTGGACCCACAGATATTGAATGGAGGCAGGACTTTCTCTGGAGTTGACACTCTGAATTTGGACTTCTAACCTCCTAAACTGTGAGAAAATGAATTTCTGTTTGTTAAAGGAATCCACATGTGGTATTTCTGGGATCACAGTACTCAAGACCTGAGACAACACAGACACACAGAGTTAAGAAGAGCCCTTAGACTCCTCAGTCTCTAGGAAACACTGCACTTCAGGATTTATACAGGAGAATGTCTATGGTATCTTCTGGTTTGTATTATGGCTGTCTCTTAATAGTTTTTTTTTCTCTCAAAATATACTAAAATTAAACACTGTACTTCTCATCTGTGATGACAAAAGTGAAGCAGAATGTGTACCTCTGCCTTGACACTATGTCGGTGAACTTGCCCATGGTTCTAGCCATGATGCCCTTTGTGAGTAACCTGACCCTTCAGGAATGGGAGGGAGAGCCAACTTTTCAAAGTGTTCGGAGCAATACTATGAGTGGCTCAAGAAATGTAGTTGAAAAAATTGGGGCTAAGAGACTCATGAGGGAGAAAAGGCAACAGAACAAAAAGAATGTAAAACCTGTAAGCCTTAGGTCAGGACATTGCTTTAGCCACATTGAGCCTGTGAGCAGATTCCATAAAACAGAGCTTTCTCTTCATTTGCTATGCTTTGTCTTTCATATATCTCTCCCCCTACCCTTTTCTTCTCTCTCTCTCTCTCTTTTTAAGTTTCTAGTTCCAGAGAATACCAGAAAGGTGTTTACCTTTGCTTTATTGACTACGGAGAGGCTTTCAATTGTGTGGATCATGACAAGCTATGGACAACATTGTGAAGTATGATAATTCTGTAACACTTAATTGTGCTCATGAAGAATCTGTACATGGACCAAGAAGAAGTTGTTCAAACAGAACAAGGCAACACCAAATGGTTTACAATTAGGAAAGGTGTGCAACAGAGTTGTATTCTTCCACCATACTTACTCAACCTGTATGCTGAGTAAACAATCCGAGAAGCTAGGCTATATGAAGAAAATGTGGCATCAGGATTGGAGGAAGACTCATTAACTACCCATAATATGCAGATGATACAAACTTGCTTGCTGAAAGTGAAGAGGTCTTAAACTACTTTGGTAAGGATTGCATCTCAGTGTAAAGAAAACAAAAATCCTCACCACTGAACCAATAAACAATAGTCTTATCAACAGAGAAAAGATTGAAGTTGTCAAGGACTTCATTCTTCTTGGATCAATGATTAACACTCATGGAAACAGCAGTCAAGAAATCAAACGACGTATTGCATTAGGCAAATCTGCTGCACAAGACTGTTATAAAGTGTTGAAGAGCAAAGATGTCATCTTGAGGACTAAGGTGCACCTGACCCAAGCCATGGTATTTTCATATTTATGCAAAAGCTGGACAGTGAAGAAGGAAGCCCATAGAAGAATTGACACATTTAAGTTATGGGGTTGGATGAGAATATTGAAAGTACCATGGACTGACAAAAGAACAAATAGATCTGTGTTGGATGGAATACAGTCAGAGTGCTCCTTGGAAGCCAGGATGACCAGACTTTGTCTCTCATACTTCGGACATATTGTCAGGAAGGCCCAGTCACTGGAGAGGGATATCGTGTTTGCTAAGGTGGAGGATCCAAGAAAAAAGAGGAAGACCCCAGTGAGACAGACTGACAAATTGGCAGCATCAATGGGTTCAAGTGTAGCGATGATAGTTCTGTTGTGCATAGAGTCACTATGAGTTGGTACAGACTCGATGGCACCTAGAAGCAACAAACAACTAGTTCCTTTCTAGAACTTCTTTATTGGAGTTACAGAAATAGAAGTAAGAGGAAAACACACACTGACCATTTGTAAAAGCATCATACTTTACAACAGGAGTGGGAAATATTTGACCCACAGGCCATATAAGGCCTATGAAATCATTTGGTCTGGACTTATCAAGGCAACTGCAGTTCCAACCATCACATGTTGTTGTTGTTGTTAAGTGCCACAGAGTCAATTCCAACCCATAGCAACCTTGTGTAGGGTTCCCAAGGGCGGGCTGGTGGGTTTGAACCGCCGACCCTGTGGTTCAAATTGACCTTGTGGTCAACTGCATTAACCCACAGCACCACACCAGGACTCCAACCATTGCATTAGGGTGAGTTAATGAAATGTTTGACCAAATACAGCAGGCTAATTTTTCAATTAATAATTTTGTATGGCCTGTGAATGATATGGCAGAACTAAGGTTCTTTGTCCCTGCTTTACAAGGACAGCTGGGGTTTGCCAGATGTCTAAAAAAGTTCCCAGAGCCCTGAAGATCGGTGATTAAAGAGCAGGAGGGAGCATCCCTACTCGCAGGAGTAGATTTATACACACCCTTATCAAGAACAGTAAACCCAGGGAGGAATTGCTACCTTGTGGGGATTGTAGTCAGTGCTACGTAACAGTGTGTATGAACGGTTGACTGTTGACTGGAAAGCCAACTTGCTCAGTAAACTTACACTCAAATCACAGTTACAAGGTGAAATTTAAAAAACAAAAAAGTGCCTTATGGGGGGATGGCTCAGCAATGACATTTGAACACTTTCTAATGAATGCGTTCTCCCAGCAGGGCACAGAGTTGAAACAGAGTTTCTCTATTCCATGGAGTCCATTCCATGGAGGAGCATTGGGTTGCTAACTGTAAGACTGATGGTTCAGGACCTCCAGCGGCCTCAGCGTCTCTCTGAGTCAATATGGCGGCGCCTGCGGGCTGCTGAAGCGTCTTCGGGGAGCAGGTGGAGGCAAGGCTTTGCCTGAGGTTCCCCTCGGTGATGGCGCTTCGGTCGCAGTTCTGGGCGCTGCTATCCATTTGCAGAAATCCCGAGCTCGGGGCTGCTGCCCTCTCAACCCATGCCAAGCCGGCGACGAAGCCTGAAGCGAACCCTGTGGATAACGAAGCCGTGGCCCCCGAATTCACCAACCGGAACCCCCGGGATCTGGAGCTCTTCGCAGTCGCCAGGAAAGAACGGGGCTGGAAGACGGAGTGGCCCTCTCGGGAGTTTTGGCACAGGTGGTTACAAATCGGGCTGCGAACCTTAAGGTCAGTGGTTCGAAACTACCAGCCGCTCCGCGGGAGAAAAATGAGGCTTTCTACTCCTGTAAAGATTTACACCCTCGGAAACCCTGTACAGGGTCGCTATGGGTCGGAACCGACTCCACGGCACTTAACAACAACAACAACAACAACGAGTCATAAGGACTCAGCATCATACAGAAGCATTTGTTGAGCATCTAAGTGGCCAGATTGTGGTTTCGGCATCCACTCGTGCATGGGCTATCAAAAAGCACCTATATAGCACCAGAAATGTGGTGGCTTATGAGAGTGTAGGCAGGGTGCTGGCAGAGCGATGCTTACAGGCAGGAATTAACTTCATGGTCTATCAACCCACCCCTTGGGAGGCAGCCTCAGACTCGATCAAACAACTGCAGGAAGCAATGACAGACAGTGGTGTGGTGCTCCAGGAGCCTCGGAGAATCTACCAATAACCTAGAAATGGTCATTGTTTGAACTTGTAAATAGAACCCTATCAGCTCTTGGCATCCATCAGAAGATGCATCAGGAAGAACGCCCGCATGGAGGCTTTTTAACAATGGAACTGAACCAGTAGAATCTTGTTTGTAGTAAAGCTCACCTTTCCCCCATCCCACCCCTTTGTAATTTGTTTATTTTTTAAATTAAGGGCTGAATGTTGGCTTTCTCTTGGGCATGAGAAACGTAAGGAAAACAATCACCAGCTTTAATGAACTTTTGGAGGACAAATTAAGAGTTGTTTTTAAGTTTAAGAATAAAGGCATATTGTTTTTTTTAAAAAAAAAGACTGATGGTTCAAACCCACCAGCTGCTCCACAGGAGAAAGATGAAGCTCTCTGCTCCCATAAAGAGTCACAGTCTCAGAAACCCCAAGGAGCTGTCTACTCTGCCCTATAGGGTCACGAAGACTCAGAATTTACTTGATAGGAATGGATTATATTTTACGTTACTTCCCTTCCCCAAAAGCATGAGGTATTTTGATCTTTTACCCCAAAATTACTAAAGAAAAAGAGAGAGGGAGGAAGGGAAGGAATGAGACAATTCTTGCTAAAGCTAGCTTGATATTTTAAAAATAAAATAATGTGGGGGCAATATACAAGAAGGGGGAGGGGAATGGAAGAGCAAAGCAGATGGGGGAACAATTAGGCAGGTTTGCACGGGCTAAGTGGGACAGAGGTAAAGAATGATGCATGCACAACCTTGGATAAATAGGGCTCTGGGATACAGGGATTGATACATCAATGGAATGGGGAAATAATGTTAAGATGCTTGGCTGTCTTATGAATCTTGGTTTCCCTGGCATACCATTATAAAATAGACACTTGAGGGGGACAGAATGGAATAGCCAGAAACGTCATCATAGAAAGCTTGTAAGTCCATCTTCTGCCTGTAACTGATTGGAACACCTAAAATGGGGCTACAACGTGCCCAGTGAAGGAGGCTTCCTGTGGAGTCTCTGCATTACATAAGACCATAGGTGGAATCCTGAACAGCATCCAATCTTCAGAGGAGGGAAATTTCCACTTGAAAGGACAAGGAGACCAGCCTGGAGCAGCTAGAAGAACAGAAGATACTTCTTGAAAGAAAGACTGGCAGGAAAAATACAAAACGATATAGGCAGACTGACTGATTACTATAAGAACAAGCAAGTTGCTCGTCCAGGAGACATCAAGGCAAGTGGTCAGGTCCCCTCAGAGCAAACCCCCTTACAAGACTAAGACTCATTGGGAATACACGCTCTGATTGGTGACCACATTGGTCTCTGATAAGGGGAAGTGAGGGGAAAACAGCAATGAAGCTGCGAGTTAAGCCCTACAACGTTCAATAGACTCCTGTGAACATGGGTGGAGACCTGGTTGGCCAGCAGTGTGGCAAGACCTGGGGACTCTTGGGCCTAGAGTCAGTGATATAGCCACAGAGGACTAGAGTGGAGAGTGAAGCATCCAGCTGATACGAAGAGAGGGCATATGCACAAGAACACCCACACTTGCGAATAATACCCACTTGACCTCGCTTCAATGACTGGATAATCAGAGGTCAACTAGAAGAAGAAAGAAGAGGAAACAAAAGAGTAATCTAATACAATTTGATGAA